CTTGCATGTTGTGCATCGGGATTTCTTTGATGCCGACGAGAGTGTCTCAATCCCTTCTCATTCATTTGAAGACGTGTTTGAGGGGTTAGAGCGCGTCTATGGGGTGAAGATCAAATGGCTGGCAGTCGATGCGCGGGCGATGAATATTGATAATAAACCAAAAACAGAATTCGATCACCGGGCTGTGAAAGCACTCGCACAAGGTAACAAGCATGTTGATGAACTGGAGAATCAAACCTACCGATTTGCCGGACGCATCCACCTGGCATCACAATGCCTGAAATGTCATTTGTCCTCGCGATCCAACAACAACGCCCGCAGTGCTGGCCTGATTCTGAGCATGCCCGTGGGGAGAATCGATCATGTCGAACCAGAAGCAAGTAACAACACGCCAGTAGACGTAAAATAAACAACCGACAGATCGAGATGCGATAGGAGAACTCTCACAAGACGTCGCTCTGGTCAGGCTATTCTGTTACTCTTTATGCTATAAATTCAAGAGTGATCGCTGATCTGGAGTCATCATTATGTTATCAATTGTCATTCCGGTTCTGAATGAAGAAGAGTCGCTGTTGGAGTTGCATCGACAGATTGTGGATGTCTGTCAGTCGAATGCGATCAATGTCGAGATGATCTTCATTGACGATGGTTCCAACGATTCCTCCTGGCAGATTATCTGTGACCTGGCTGAAAAGGATCAGCGCGTCTTCGGGATCCGGTTCCGTCGTAACTTCGGGAAGGCAGCTGCCCTGACAGCGGGGATGAATGCCGTGCGGGGGGATTACATCATGATGATGGATGCTGACCTGCAGGACGATCCAGCGGAGATCCCGAACTTTCTGGCTAAAATTGATGAAGGTTACGACGTCGTCAATGGCTGGAAAGAACGCCGTCTCGACCCCTGGCACAAAGTCTATCCGAGTAAAGTCTTCAACTGGATGGTCAGTTCCCTCAACGGTCTGAAGCTGCACGACCATAACTGCGGCATCAAGATGTTTCGCGCGGAAGTCCCCCGTGAAGTTCGTTTGTATGGTGAGATGCACCGCTTCATCGCAGTGCTGGCTCACTCGCGCGGGTTTAAAGTGACGGAAGTACCGGTACACCATCGACCACGTCAATTCGGTTACTCGAAATACGGCATCAAACGTTTTCTACGTGGTTTCCTGGATTTACTCACGGTGAAATTCCTCACCAGTTTCGGACAGCGACCGCAGCACATGCTGGGCGGCATCGGCCTGCTCTTCTTCTCGCTCGGAACGCTCGGTCTGGTCTATCTGGGACTGCTCTGGGCATTCATGAATTTGATCCCCATCATTGAGCCTTCTCCCATCGGTGGAAGACCGCTCTTGCTCTATTCCGTTGCATCACTGTTGTTAGGAGCCCAGGGCCTTTCTCTCGGGATGTTAGCCGAATTGATCGTCGCTAACACCGGCCGCGAACGAGACACCTACAGCGTCACCGAACGAACCTCAGTATCGGATGATCGACCAGAGACAGTAAGCTCTTCGTGAATCAAGCTCACGCAGAGAAAAAACTGACGGGAAGTGTATCTGCAAGCGATCAGCTGATGTCCCAGAATCGTCCGCGATCATTGGGGAGACTCGCTCACACGATGCCACTGTCACTGGTCAGTTTCTTAGGTGATATTGAGCGATTGATTCGTTTACGGATCGTCGCGATGACTTTGCTTTCCTGACTCAGCGAAGTTAAATCCTTCAGCGTCAGCAGGGACTTCAATGTTGAATGTTGGAGGTTCAACTTCTGATTCGTAGCTGTAGCCAACGAAGATTGGCTCAACCGGTTCGACTTCGACAGTTTCATCCTCATTGTGCGTCGGTTTTGAGGGATAAGCAGTGACACGAATTTCGTGTGGTCCTGCGATAATTCCCTGTCCAGCATTCGACGTATCATATTCTCCGTTCTCAATCGTCGCACTCCCCGAAGGGGCTTCTATTCCTTCTGCATGCCTGGAGATAAACTCAATCTCACCGAACACAATTGGCTTGCCATCAAATGTCGCAGTTCCGGAAAGGTCATGGCGTTCGACTCCTGCCCCTCCGCAGCCCAGCGTTGAAAGTAGAAAAAGTGTTACAACAAGTCTTGTGTACATTTCGAGTCCCCATAAAAGAAACGCCTCACAATTTTATTGTGAGGCGATTGATGTGTGTTGTTTGTCATGGATGTTAATTGATCTGAAGCACTAATCCATCATCTCGGCTTGCTGACGCTTGGTATGTGTCGAAATCGATGTTTTCCGAAACGAAAATGACCGAACCATCTGCTCGTAAAAACTGAGCGCCACCGACATGGTTACTTCCGAATCGGACATCTCCGAACAAGTGATTCGCATTGTTACTTCGATAGCTTGCCGGGCCAATTGCATGGGCGACGTTTTTGCAAGCGTAATGTGCTGCATTATTGTTGGCGTTACTGGAACCTTGAATCCATGGACGATAGGGATTGCCAGGTCCCGGAGCCGAAGAAATTTCGCCAAGTAGTAAGGTGTTTGAAGTGCCGTCCAGAATGTCTCTCATCCGGGTACTACTTTGGCGGTAGAGGATGCCGTTCGTCGCGCTCCCCCCATGATTATTGGTTGTGTTTCCAGTATGAGGCCAGTTGCCTGAGAGGGGAGCAGGACGTGGACCTTTGGCACCAGCAACACCGTAATAATGGATCGTCCAACCTTGACTAGTAGTCGATGGTTTTTTGTCACGCGTCCGCGCACTCGGGCAGTGCAGGAGAGGAAACTCTTCATCACGTCTTGAACGATTATTAGGTGTCCCAGCTGTACTGTTGTAATGCAAACTGAAATTGAAAGTATTGTAGAGCGGTGCTTGGTCCACGAAGGGGAGGATATGAACAGACCACGGCATATTGTTCGCTGGATTGGCACCTGAGTTATTGCGAGCCATAGCCCCCTGTGGAAAGATATTATGTGTATCGTGGTAGTTGTGCAGCCCGAGCCCCCATTGTTTCAACTTGTTTTTGCATTCGGTACGGCGTGCTGCTTCACGTGCTTGTTGGACAGCTGGCAGTAACAATGCGATCAGGATCGCAATGATTGCTATCACAACTAAAAGTTCGATGAGCGTAAACCCACGTTTTTTTTTAGTTTGCATGGATATTTCCTCAAAAGATTAGAAAAAGAACATCAAGACATAAAATGAATGATTGTTGGATTCAGTAAATAGATGGGCAAAAAATCTCAGTAAAACAAATTAAGGTTCATCGGCTGGTCGGCCACCCATCGTTTTGGTGATCGGTCCTCCACCACCTTCGAGGGCGATGGTAGCGGGTGACATCCCATCGGATGTGACTTCTACAGTCAGGTCTGTCTGGTCAGGCAGCGAATAATGTTCTGGAGTGAACAGCTTCACCTTCATCGGCTTGGCATTCTCAGTCGGATCCTCCGTATTGTATCCCTCTGGCATTTCGCCAACCATCTCTTCTTTGATGACGGTGACTTTGTATTTCCCAACCGGGATACCGTCATCCGCGCTGTAGGTCCCTACAACAAAATTGCCTCCAACACCTGATGTTGCATTTGATCCACGTTGAATCTGATTGCCAGCATCAGGGATAAATGACAATCTTGCCCCTTCCAGTGGTTCACCGTCCAGAGTCACAGTCCCTTCAACAAGGACCAATGTCGGACGACCATCACCACCACAGCCGAAAAAGGTACAAGACAAAATAAATAATGTTGCGAGTCTAAAGTTCAACGCACTTTTCCTAAGTCGATTCAAAAAGATGTTAGGGAAAATTTGATAGTCACATTGAAGAATTAGAAGTCAGAAACCGAGTTTCCATCATCAATATTAAACAGATTCGAATACACAAAATTCCCAGTGAGACTAGTCGTTGGATCGTCCTGGATGTTCTCACTGAGAAAGCGAACTGAACCGTCTGCCAAGAGAACATGAGCTCCGCCAGGGTGGGCGCTGGCAATCACAGCACGTGTGACAAGCGCCGGTGTATTCTCTGTGTAGCCAAGAATGGCGGAATTATGTGTCCCATCGAACGGAGTATTCATGGCACTTGTGTGATGGACGATGCCAATTCGTGAATTTCCTGGGATACGGTGCGTTGCCCAAGTGGCACCGATGGAAACGAATGGTGCCGACATCAATGCTTTTTCACCCATGAGTATTGTGTTTGATGTTCCATCTAGCACATCACCAATTGTTCTCTCATATGGTCCAGCGCTGGGGTAAATCGCAAAGCGTGATGTCATTGAGTACATCAAGGTACTGAGATTGTTCTGATACCTGTTGATTGGTTCACCATTCGCAGAGGGGCAGACATAAACAGAGATCGGAGTCGTTAGAAGAGATTCGACTGAACCGGCTGTTTGAGATGTCGTAAAGTCATGAGACACCGACAAGTCAGCGGTCGGAACCTGCATGCTGGAGTCGCCCACTCCAATCTGTTCATATAACGGGGCCTGGTCGATGTAAGGCAAGATTCTCATACCCCACGGCCATGCATGCTCCTTGTCCATATTGACGTTGGTCGTTCCAGTTGCAATTGGTTTTGCGACAGAGGAAGCAATTGGGAAGCATCTGAAAGTGTCATGATAGTTGTGCATCGCGATGCCGAGTTGCTTCATATTATTTTTGCACTGACTGCGGCGGGCGGCCTCTCGTGCTTGTTGAACTGCTGGCAATAGCAAAGCAATTAAGATCGCAATAATCGCAATAACGACCAGCAGCTCGATGAGTGTGA